GTGATTGGTTTTTGTTCATTTGTGAAAGTTTTAAGAAGTGAGTTTATATCCCCATCAACTCTGATGGGGTCAGTATGAGAGTAAGCAAAAGAGGTGACTGCAGGTGAAATAACTCTTTCCCTCCAAACTGAGGTTTGAATCACAGGCTCACTGGGCTCCTATGATTCTACAGTTTCATGGAAGAAAATTAAATTCATTTGCCAAATGATAAAGGCAGATGGTCATCTCATTAACAGAACTTTGAAAGAATCTCAGTGGAACTGTTAAGCTAACATTTATTGAGCACTTGTTATGTACCAGGCACTGTGCTAAGCACTTTATATGCGAATTCACACAACCTAGGGTATGCTCCTACCATTAATTATTGTTTTCTCCATGACTATAATGATAAACACAGATAAACAGAGCTGCCCAGGTCTCCCAAGCAAAAATGGAAGAGCAGGGATTTCCATTTCCAAAAATGGAAATACAGGTTGTGTCTGACTCCAGGGCCTGAGCAACTCACATTGTGCTACGCTGAAGTAAAACTGCATCAGGTGGGTTGGCCTGTTGGATGAGTGGCCGTGACTACTTGCCTGAAGGCTGAAGAATGCCATCCCACCATGGCATCCTCCTAACGTGTCAGGGATGCCAAAGGGCCCTTCTTACAAGTGTCTCGGCAACACATCAGGTTAGAGATAATAAAATGATGTCATTGTAAGTGGAGGTTACTTGCCCATTTGTTGCTACAGCTGGACAATGGGTGTTCAATTAAATCAACCAGCTTTGCTGGTTATGAATCAGTTAAAATGCCAGGACCTAAGTGAGTGTGGAGAGCATGTGAATTTCAGCTGTACCAATTTAGGTTCCTACTTGGGCTGTGTCCTAGGGCTACTCTCATCTCAGATTCGTTTTCATAGATACTGGTTAAAAAAAGGACTAAAGAATAACTTATAATGCCCTAAATTTAAAAGACCAACAAAACCAAAAAAACCTTTCCCTTTATCTTACCCCCGTGGAAAGCTACTCTTGGAAAATCACTGGATCCAAATGGACCTTAACAGTCATCTAGCCCAATTTTGCCTACTCTGAACAACCTCTGACCTCTAGCAGCCCTGCCAAGTAACATGCAGCTTCTTCCTGTGCTCCTCGTCCTGGGCAAACCAGCTCATGAGGGAAGGAGCCTGACCGATGTTCCTGTACGGAGGTGAAACTTGCCTTCCTGTGACCTACCCCTTCGGTCCTCATTTTGCCCCATGGAAATACCGTTTATGCTTATTTTCTTTGTCCCCTGACAGTCTTCCTACTCTGGAAACAGTGGCTCTTCCTGATTGCTTCTTTCTTGCAGGCTAGACATCCAAGTCACTGTCCCTTGACCGCGGGCCAGGGTGCCAGTGTTCCACCAAAAGCTAAGTACGTAAGAATCCACGTCAAGTCTGGTGAGCACACAGTAAAGTGGGATTTTCCTGTCAATGATCAGGACATAGACATTCTTTGCACCCTCTGACTGTGCTGGTTCCCCCAGCGTTTGCATTACACCGCTGCTGCACTCTAAGCATGTGGCTAATGAAAGCCCTTAGATCTTTTCTCGAGTGAGCTGTTGTTGCTGAGCAAGGTGACCTCCCGATCCGTGTTACTGACTAAAAATATATGGTCATGAAATAAAGTTATTTTGCTAGGTAGGACCTCATCAGGATCAGTATGAAACTGGTGGAAGCCAAATTTCACCATCTTTATGAAAATTACAGATTTTCTTGGGGTCATCTGGCACATGCAATCCAAAAAATAATTTGTTACTTACTCATTAGCATTCAAGCTAGCTGTGGCTCTGATGATCATGTAGCAGAGTGTGAGAGCACTGAGGAGGCCAAAACTGGCAATAATAAACCATTCTTCTGTTGACAAAGGAAAGGGAGGAAATCACTCTGGGGAGAAGGCTTAAGTCAAATCGATGTCAACATTTCCCTCAAATGCAACGAAGCAGACGTCAACGGAGGTGTAAGCCAAGACTGGCCCAAGGAAGTGAAGCAGGAGGAGGTTTGCCAGAGAGCTACTAACTGGAGAAGGTTAGTGGAAGTAGTGGTGAAAAGCTGCAAGGGAGAAAGGAAAGCATGGCCCAAACATTTCTTCCAGTTAAGGTCCTGAGGTTTGTGAAGAGTGTGGCCACCAAAAAGTGTGCAGCAGGAATAATGCATGTAAAATTGCACGTGGACACAGAGTTTTAAATGGCTACTTTAGATGACAGTAAAGTGGACCAGCCATACTTCTATAACCTTTCCTTCTTCATTTTGTCACTTCTGCACGGTTGTGCCACTCATACGGAGTAGAGGTCCCAAAGGTCCTGTGGGTACTCCATGCAGTCCGCGAGCTGGCCTTCTGTGGCATTCGGGTCTACCTTCTTTTCTCTTAGGCACAGGTTTACTTACAGTCTTTATTTACAAAGGACATCTTACTGGCTCTCTCCTGGGAAGGACTACCCTTCATGCTCCCGCCGGCGGGAGGCAAGTACCGGCTGCTCTGGCTGTGTCGAGCACAAGTAGGAAGGGAAGGTGACTCGCAAGGTACCTGGCCCATCAAAGAGTTGAGAAAAACCTCTGAAACACAGAACTCTAGGGTTTTTATCTAGTCTCTCTCTAGACCCAGGAAGTCAGTTAACAGTTTCCCTTCTTTTCAAAGTCTGTATCATCAGGGTAACGTTCCCAAAGCACTATTTACTGAGAACCTCAAAAACAACCTGAGAACTAATCTATAAGGTATTTCCTAGCATATACACTCACTGGGGCCACTTTAACAAGGTGGGACAGCAAAGCCCCCTCTGTATCTACAGTAACGCAGAGAGAAGACATTTATACTTGGAACACCAAAGCTGTGTATAACGTGAGGGTTTCTCAGTCTGGTTTCCATGAATCCTACAAATGTGCAAAACTATGTGCGCATAGGGATTTTTCTAGAAAAAGGTTATACTTTCACTGGATTTTAAAGATGGTGATCTTCAAAAGGTTAAGAACTGTTCTTCAGGATGCCAGGATGATGAGTTTGTTCTAGAAGTGTTTCTTGGCCATCTTGATTTGTATTGTTACAATGCTTAGGAAACTCTTTTGTTTTCGGTTAACAGTGCAACCACTGCTTCTTGGATGACAAATTCCTCATCAGTACAGTGAATTTATAAGGTTTTAATTTCAGTCCAAATGAACATTTAAGAACCCACACAATATCCACCATTTTTACCTGCGTGTATTTTAAGTTAGGAAAAATGTGTACTGGCATTTAAAAAAACTCAGAGATGACTGCTCATCAGTATCAAGAAGCTTAACACAGAGTTCTTTATCTTTTTCTTCTTAGAGACCTTTGTACACGTTAAGCAGACTAACCTGTGGAACTTCAGTGCTGTCTGTGGTTCTGCATACAGAACATAGCATCCATAGATGTATGGCATGTCAGTATAAAAGCTAGTAACCAAACAAAGCAGACACCATCACAATGCCCATGGGGTCCAGCAGTCTGCTGTGGCCAGGACCCCGGTGTGTATTTAGCACAGTGCCTTGCACGGTGGGTGCTGAGCGAGCACACTGTAGCTGGTATGGCACTACAGAGCTTTGAGGGCAAAGGAGAGGGAGCTTTGGTTTCATTTAACCACATGAGTATATTTATTCACATGTGTAAATTCTGCTAATGGGGACTGAAGTGATAAATGAAGTAACATTTTTTTTATCATCAGAATGGAAGATTCTGAAAGGACAGTTCTACATAATATATAATGGGATCAGAACTCAATGTAGTAGTAGGTGCTCAATAAATGTCGATCAATGAAGGACTTACAGAAAATCATTTAAGAAACAAGGAAGCTTTGTTTCCTTTATTGCTACTAGATTGTTTTTTAAAAGTCTACACTATAAAACCTGAAAACATGAAAATCTGTTAGAACACATCACGGGGGAAAATGGTAAGAAATGAGTCAAGCCGTATCAAAGAACTGTCTTCCTTATTTTGTAACTGAATGAAGTCTCCCTAAGATCAGACAGAAACTAGAACAAAACCTGGGAAATCATTTGCTACTCCTAAGTTTTGGTTGCTTAAAAACATGTGTACTTCACTTGAACAGACCGCAAGAGTCTCACTATGGGAAGGGCAAATCTTTTGCAACAGCTTTAACTGGGCTATGGACCCCCCAGTTAAGCAGGGCCCCGTCAGCTTTAGGGCTCGAAGCTATAGGCAAGCAACAGCACATATGGAAAAGGCAGCACCAGAGTGGTGGCGAGGAAGATGGCGAAGGGCTGTTAGATGAAAGATCACGTGGAGGACGGGACTGGAGGAGACAGCTGGCTTGTTACATGGTGAATGTCCGCACGGCCCACACACACGCCTGCCAGCCCATTCACACAATCCTGAGGCATGGCCATCAGAACCCTCGGAGCACCGTTCTTCTTCCCACCAACGGCACAGCAGTCACGACGTTCATAACCAGCAAGAGCATTTTTCAAGGCAGACTACCCTCTGTCTTTTCTCCCACCTCGTGTACCATGACACCAAAGACGGAAGTGCCAAGACACCAAACGTCACAGGAAGCATCAAATAAAGTGAGCAGCAGCCGGCTCAAGTTGCCCTTGGACCAAGTGGTCCATTTGTGTGTTCAAATCTGCACTAGCATTTCACTTGGCTGCCAGCGGTATAGGACCAGAGCGCGCTGGCGCTCACAGTCACACGACACAACTGAGTTGAGGCCCTATGTCACATCCCGGCATGAGCCTTGAAAATGCCCATCTGCAAGGCAATCATTTAAAAACTGGCGACTAAGACAAGCCTCTCAACAACTACTTGTCAAATGGAAGCGATTCCCATTTATTATATACAAATACACAAGCTCCTTATTGTAAACAAAGTCTTGCCCTTCCAAGTACCTGTTTCTTGGTTACAGACTAACCCACCAGACCGGGTGACTGCCTCAACTGTGCTCCGGAGCCATCAACGCACACCAGACAGCAGTAAATGCGCCTTGTGCCTGGGCACGGGGCCCCACTTACTTGTTACTGCAATGTTGATCTCTCCCGTTCTAGGAGTGAGCTCCCCATCCTGAGGAAGAGGTGAGATCCCCGAAGTTCGCAGTGGCTCCAGGCCAAGGGAGTTGTCACTGGCAAGGTCACCTAGGGCTGATCTCCGGTTAACTGCTTGGGTTCTGGTGAGCCTTTCCATATCAAATGCTACGTTATCAGTACATGGCAAATTTGGCTGCAAAACATTTCCAGATTAAGAGTACTTATAAGAATAACAAATCTTTTAAAAAATTCTAAATGTTTGATACTCTGTTGAAAAGACTTGAAATTTTTTTGTGTGGTTTCCTCTCATTTCTTTCCCCACTTACCCTTTCTCACCCAAGAGTTTTTCTGTAACAGAAACAGATGACTTCTTCTCAGAAATGGCAAAAAAGAAAACTAAAATCCACTGTAGAACTGAGAAAAACGGAATGTCATCTTTATGAAGAAATGATAACCTTTGGTGGACATGGCTCCTGGGCAGAGGGTTGTTCAATACCATTATTACACAGCTGACAAACATTAAAATGTATCGCTTTGGCTCTTCCATCAATGTTGAGGGAGAGCAGACAACATAAAATACTGCTTTCATCCTATTAACTTCTCTGTAATGCCTCATTTATCTGGCAGGCAGGTTTTAAATGTCTCCTACCTTTAAAGACAAGGGAAGTACACAACCAGGAGCAGATCAACCCTGAAAAGACCTTGAACTGTGAGAAAGGGATCTGTTCCATAATCTAAGCATCTAACCCTGAAGGAGAGCTATAGAGCTGCCTTGGGGCCAAAGCCTGCCAACTAAGATCCGGATACGAGAGTCTTCTGATGTAACAGTTTGGATACTTGGTTTCCCTAGCAACCTTCAGTTCCTGTAGCAGACAGCATGTCAGGAGCAGAGCTGGGAAGGATGGCTGAGAGCTCAAGTACAGAGAAGTGACAGCTGACCAAACCCAGAATAATGGCTTCCCGGGAAGGAGAATGCTGTTCTAGATCACCCCAGAACCCAAGTACAAAAGGTTACAGCGCAGTGTAATAACTGACGCTTCTAATGACACCCACTCAGAAGAGATTTATTATAGCCTTTACACTTAAACTCATGGTAGCTTGTAATAGATTTTAGAACGGTGTTCATTAAGAACAGAAGGGAAAAGTATTAGCACTTCAAAAAATAGAACTTAAAAAACAAAACAAAGCAAACCACCTAGAGGCAATGAAAGGAGGGAAGTTAATCCTTCGCGAAGTATCTGCCACATGCCAGGTATTATGGCAGATGCTCTATGTTAAACCCCTCAAAAGGGGGTGAGCTTTTTTCCCCAGGGGACATCTGGCAATGTCTGGGACATCCTGATTGTGTGGCTGGTGTGTCGTGCTACTAGCACTTAGAAGTAGCCAGGGAGGCTGCTAGACACCGTACAGTGCACAGGATGGCCCCCACCTGATGGAATTATCTGGTCCAAAGTGTCAGCAGTGCTGAGGTAGAGGAACCCTATGCTAAACGACGTCACAGACATGATCACTGCAGATGGGAAGATACATGGGGGCATCACTGACCAACTGCACTGCTAACTGTCGTCTGATAGTGTATTCCGAATACGACTGCTTGGATGTGCTTTGGGCTGCAAAGCTAAAATGAGGAATTCGTTTGGTGGGCCAAACTAAACTTTTGGTTCTGTATGGAAATCATTCATCCACTCTTTCTTGAGACCAGAGAGTATTTTGTTTTCCTCCAAAAAGCATTCATTGTGGATATATACTTCTCTTAAGGAAGTCTCCAAGGTCCTCAGTTAGTCAGAGCTGACCCTCCTGGCCAGAGCTGAAGTTGTCTACCGGGAACTGGCCAAAGGCCCTGCCCAGGGCTGGTACTGCCCACTACCACTGCTGGTACCTGACCAAGGCACCCATGGGAGCAAAGCCAGATCCAAGGGGAAGGAATGTAAGTGATGACATGTGATGCCGAATGCAGAAAAAAATTACTGTTGGGCCAGAGTCAAAAGTCTATATTCCAGTCCTTAAAAAAAAAGCAGAACGCAAGAAAACCCCATCCCTCTCTCCTACGGTGGTTCTTCAGCACATTTCTACCACTCAACAGAAAAGCACACTTGTAAGTGGACTAGCTCAGTCCTGTACCATCTCTCCTGGGACTTCCCCACGGTGGCCCGAACTTTAGGTACCCTGGGAGAAAGGCACTGGAAGCCAGGGTTCTCTTGTGAGACATGACCATCCCACTTGTGCTACGTTAGCTTGCACTTGGAGAGGACACCACACAGACGGAGTAACAAAATAAGAAACGTACCACAATTCCCAGGGCCTTCAAAATATTAAGTTTGCACATTGGACAGGTACAGTGTTCACTAAGCCAGGGATCCACGCAGGATTTGTGGAAAACGTGCCTGGAAAAAATGGGAGACTTGTATCACAAATTACATGCTAAGCAACTATTAGACCAGAAGAAATGGAATCTTTAGTCAGTCTGTTTCTCCCCCTTTTCCAACATATTGGCAAGTCCCAAGAAACAACTATTGGGGAGGTATTAAAATATGGCTGGCAGAAAAACTAAATCCAATCTGGATGATGAGAACTGGTAAGTAGTATTTGGCTGTTGGGTCGTTTTATTTCACCATTTGAGGAAACTTAGGATATTTATTAAGAATGAAGAAGACAAACTATACATTATTAATCAGTTACATTTTCTCTAACAGCTAAAGTAGAAAAATGGAAACTCAAGAAGATACGAAACAAGAGTTACATGAAGTTTTCTGCAAAACTACGAGCTAGTTTCATGGAACTCATGTCCATGAGTTTAAACGTCATTTAAAACATTATTTTTGTTTTTTTAAATTAAAAAAATTTTTTAATGTTTGTTTTTTGAGAGAAAGTGGGGGAGGGGCAGAGAGGGGGAGGGAATCCCAAGCAGGCTCTGCGCCATCAGCGTGGAGCCTGACACAGGACTCAAGTCCACAATCTTGGGACCATGACCTGAGCCAAAACCAAGAGTCAGACGCTTAACTGACTAAACCACCCAGGTGTCTCTTTTTTTTTTTTTTGAGAGAGAGAGAGAGATCGTGCATGCGCCAGGGGAGAGGTGCCAGGGGAGAGAGACAGAGGAAGGGAGGGAGGGAGAGAGAGGGAGATGGAGGGAGGGAGAGAGAGAGAGAGAGAGAGAGAGAGAGAATGAATGAATGAATCCCAAGCAGGCTCCATACTCAGTGAGGAGCCAGACATGGGGCTTGATCCCATGATCTTGGGATTATGACCTGAGCCAAAATCAAGAGCTGGATGCTCAACCCACTAAAACGCCATTTAAAAAGACTTCTAAGCAATCTATGCTAAATGTCTGTATAAGTTGCAGGGAGGTTGGGAATATTTTGGGGATGAATTGCGCTTAAGAATCAGGTTAACACTGAGCCAGAAGTTTTCAGTGGAAACATTATGGAAGGAGAGACGACGGGTGATTTGCTCTTGCTTAGGAAAGTGGAAACTCATATCCTTGCAACTGACCGTAAGTCAGTGGTGGAGGGTTCCACATCCTTAGAAAGGGATCTTGCACCTTTTGGAAGCGAGAGAAGACTTTGAGAGAGCTGTGGAAATCATTTCTCAAGTTCAAGTACTCCCCATGGCAGCTCTCAGAGGTTGAGATGAAGCCACACAGAAGCCCCAAACAGGCTTCTGGCCAAACAGGGACAGAGGCAGGTGCTGGGACCCACATTCAGGCACCTTTGGAACAACTATATGTGGAGTCTTGGGGTAAAATAAATGTTAAGAAAGATATCAAATTGAAACATGGTATGTCTTTAAAACTTTTGCAATTTATAATTTATATGTGGCTTATAGTTACATATAGCTATTCAAAAATGCAGTTTTGATAAAAAAAAAAGAGGTCTAAAAACTCACTGCTTTAACTGGGATTTGGAAGAAACATTCATGGCTACAGTTTCAATGCAAACAATACATATGCACCCACCTACTGCCACTTGGTGACCGTGCACTCAATTACTTTGGGTAAGAATAATGATCATGAAGTCTGAATTTATCCATCTAGTGTGAAGCCTGCAGATAAAGCAATGAACTAAAACCTCATCATCCTGAAAGCTTTTACTGAAACCTGCAGGTTTTTACTTAAGGGGTTAAAGTCACCAAACCATAGGCGAGCCCGAAATTCATTTAGAACACATAAGGCCTTGTCACGTCTGCTTCTTGTTCCTTTTAATCTCGTATGAGTGCTCCAGGAGTGCTCCCACCCACAGGCCCACCCCCACCCCCCACTCCCCGGGCGGGCATTTTCAGAGCCGGGACTTACACCCCAGTGGCTGTCAACCATGGCAGTGTTTGGTGCAGTCTGGCAGAGGCTAGAACAGGCTTCTAACCTTTCTGGGGATACAGAAGCTTTCAGGTCGACTAAGTGACAGATCCTCCCCCTTACAAGGGTGCATCTGCCTAACCCCTGGCCTACAGACCTCTGAGGGTTTGGTTAGGGTTGGGTGGGGGTGGGTGGCTGGCAGAGGCACTTGAGGCCAGTTCTACAATGGACTTTGGGCGGCTGGCAGGTGACAGGAGAGCCAACGTTTTGTGACCTCTGGTGGGGGGGAGGGGGCTGCTGACTTTAGCCAGCTGTTTGTGGAGACCTTGGTTTAGGAAGCAGCAGAGGCCTAGGGGCAAATGGTGGTTTGCCCTCCCTCTTCCATGTCCCTGTCACCTTTTTCTTCACCTGTCACCCTGCTGCTTTCCGTTTTTCTTAACCTACTGCCTTTCTTTTTTATTACTGGTTGTTCAGAAAGAATAAAATGGTATAATCCCATATTTAATTTTTAAGGCTGCATGAGCTGAATGTTCTCCGCTTATCTGTTCCCCAACTTAAATTTTAAATGCATTTTTCTTATGTTGGGCTTTTTAACCGCTTCCTTATAGGTGCGTTGATGTAAAACGTGTCCTGCCAGCCCCCCACTGGGTACTGTACTGGACAACAAAGACTAACTGGGTCTCCAGAGACAAACTGAGAATGTCTCCCTTTCCTAGCTAACTCAAAATCCAAGAAAAATATTTTCTTTCTGAAAACAAACAAAAACTTTTCCTTCTGACTATGTGTCTAGCCCATGGCTCTTCTATTCGTGACCCCCACCCCAGTCAGACCTCCCAACAGATGAGTTCCTGTGCCTCAGCCTGGTTCCCTCTCATGGGAGCACAGCCCGGCAGCTTTCTCATTCCCCTGTGGGCCCTCTGACCCCCACCCCCTCAGGGTTGCTGCTGGAATTTCAGTGAGTAACTAACCTGTGCTCCTTCCTTCCCTCATCACCCATGTCCTCACCCTCTTGCTTCGCTGCTGCACCAAGCTCAGCCTGGTGGCCTTCTCCCTTCCTCCCAGTGGGGGAGTGTTCTGCTGCCACAGTGTGTGCGCCTTCCTGACTCTGCTGTGTCTCCAGCAAGCTGCAGAGGCATAGCAGTGGGGGGGAAGGCAGGCCCTACCTTGTGTGGCTGTGCGGAGCAGTAAGTAACAAGCTGTCGTGGAATACTCAGAAAAGCACCAACGGCGTGCAAAGGAAAGGAACTACTGAACATATACTCAGGCAAAGTAACATTAACGTTTCACATGACAGCCTGATAAATGGTCAGAACGAGTGAGTGGGGCTCAGGCGCCAGAAAGCCCAGTACCCGTGACCTCGGACTAGCTTGCAGGTGTACCACGGGCACCCATGGACATCTCACAGGGTGGCACCTGGGGTCAGCCAGGCTTTGAGAAGAAGCCCTCCTCACTGCTACGAGAAACTCGAGTAGTCAAAGTACACACAGAAGCACTGAGGGCCGAGAGTTGGACAGGGACGCGATGGAAGGCAGGTGATATGCTGAGGAACAGCAAGAAATACCTTGGGGTACAGAATGCGGAATTTATGGGACACGAAAGGAACAAAACCAGCAGCACTGCACTGCGTATGGCGCCCGCCCCCTTTCCTCCTTCCAGAACCATCACAAACTAGAGATTAGAAGGAAGGCTGGGGGTGGGGGGAGGCGTGTACATTGAAGGGGAGTTGTTTTCACAGCTCCACAGCCTCTTGGTGCCCTGTAAGACCCTGGCAAATATAAGAGGCCTCGGGATCACTACAGGTCAGAGATGAGAACTCGCTCCTCACCGGGCCCGGCAGCAGACGCCGTGCAAACAGGTGCTCCCTCGAGGTGGGGCACATTACTGTGGTGCCCGAAGTGGCATCTTGGACACACGTTTATCCAAGCTGTGCACTCCACTTCTGAAAATTATTTTTAACCACTAAAACATTTTGTGGCTGACCTTTAAATCAAAGAGGTCTAAATAAGGCGATAGTCTCTAGGGCGTGCTGGCGAACAACCTAGATGATCAGCTATAATCAACGGACACAAGCAGGAGGCCCCAGGGCAATGCCAACTGCCATCTGTCTGCAGTAAATGAACGTGACAGAGGAGGAAAAGTAAAGGTCATGCACCAAAAAGCCAGCAATCCATGAGCGCTCTGCTATCTATAGAAAGTCCCAGTTCAGTCTGCACTCAGGCTGGTTAAAAATTAAGGACAAACAGAAACAAAGGCACCTGGGCTTTCTTCTTCCCTTACTCAGGTGAAGAAGGGACACAGAGCACAGATCCTTCCCCAAGTCTGGCTGCGAGAGGAGGGGCCGCAGGGCGGCATTTGGAGATGGGTTAAGAAACTGGCATAGAAGTGCTTGCATAGGACAAGATGCCAGAGACAGAAAGAACAAAACCTGGCAGGGGCAGACAGTCCACAGAGCAAGGTCCCTGAGGAGGGGAAGGGACTGGAACATGGGGGCCCAGGTGGAAAGAGCACATTGGAACAAAGGTGGTCCTCTTCCACCCAGATAGGAGGGGATGCCAAAGGCATGGCTGTGGAGGCAGGTGCATCTGAAGGCTTGCCGTCAGGCAGCTGAGAATTTCACGGGCTGACAGCCATTATCTTCTCCATGGAGGTGATGGGGAAGCTCTCTGGCCACGGCGAGGAACAAAGGGACGAGCTGAGGTGTTTAAAGGAGACTGAACACACTTGGAAGTGAGGCTATGAGGAACGAGGAGAGCTGACTAGGAAAGAAAAGGGCTCTGGGCAGCACCCTGGGCCCAGACGGGGGTCCACCTGGAGTCCCATGGGAGGCAGGGAGGTACCAGTGCCACCTGGCAACGAGAGCTCAAGGGAGATGCTGGGTCTCAAAGATGTACAGATCAAAGAGGAAGGGCAGGATGTCCCGGGCAGAGGGAACAATGTGGGTAGTGGCACAAGGCCAGAAGCAATTTGGAAGAACTCTAGAGGAGCCCACCGGAAACCGGAGGCTTAGACAAGGCTGTCCTGGAAGGTCCGTGGTTCCCAACTGCTGACATCTGTGGTCGTCACAACTGTGTGGAGGGGGCGACCGGCATCTAGTGGGTGGAGCCAGGTATCCTGCTAAATATCCCACAATGCACAGGGCAGCCTCCTCTCTCCCGCCCCTCCCCGCCGGCCCCAAATGTCTACAGTGCCAAGGCTCAGAAACCTGGATCCAGGTTACAAGTTGTCAATTCTGGTCCCACGAAGTGTTGCTCAATGTGCAAAGTTGATTTTTACTGTACCTGAGAATTATGCTGTTGTTACCATTTCAGTGAGGTGAACGGTTCTGCCAAGCACGTGTGTGGTACAGCTTAGTGAAAAGCTACAACTTGTTGAGGCTTAAGAAGTAAGAGGTGAAGACACCAACTTGCTCCAAGGCAAAAGGGGAGATATGATATACAGGCAGCGGGCATGTCTAGCCCAGGCAATGACCCAGCACGGAAGACAACGGACCGAGGGAGCAGTGCCTCATCTGCGGGTACACAGAAGTGTTGCTAAGGTTGCCAAAATTCTAATATTCAAAGGCAGGCCACGGACACAAACAGGCGAGAAGCAGTCCTCTGGTGGCAGGAGCAGGCACAGGGATGGCTAAGAGCAGGCCAAGCTCCAGACTCGGATGGAGCACAGCAGTTTCAGTGTCCCCCAGGCACCTATTCAAAACCACATGCCTGGGCCTCATGATGTTTCTGAACTCAGTTCCCCACTGATTCCGACACACGGTCAGGTCTGGAAAGCACCAGATGAAGTTAAGGAAAAAGAGGACTAAGAACAAAATGCTGAAAAAGCCAATGCTTAAGGGGGCGCGGGGGGGGGGGGGCAGGCACATGGAGCAAGTTCTTGGAGTGATCCATTTTTGGCCGAGGCTCCCCTGAGGAAGACACCCTCGTGGCAGTAACAAGCACGAATAGCTTTTAGAGGCCTTTGTGCTTACGTCCAGATGGAGGGGGGACCACGGCTGGAAGTATGAAGACAGAATTTGGAAAGACTTGGCTTCTTCCTGTTGATTCTATGCATGTATAAATCTATGCATGTAAATCTATGCATGTAAAAACATTTTTAAAAAGCAGCCAAGAGCTGATAATGCTTTATAATGTACCTACTGGTCTTTTCCTATTTGTATATGGATGTATCTTTCCCTCAGCCTCATGTTTTAGACCAGAAATGACCAATGATGGCAGCTGAAGGAAATCTAATCACACAATTACATAATTATATTTTCTATAGGACAGCTTCCAGTTAATTTTGTAGATTATCCTTGGTATGTAAACCAGACCGACCTGACTTCCAGACAGACTCTGGTTTTCTGTTTCAGCATATAGAATTATTCTTAAATTCTAGGATTAAAAAACAAACAAACAAACCCACAGATCTTTCTGGGTTCAAAATAGCCTCATGGAGACAACTACCGACATTTTATTTGCTCCTATGTTCCTTGTTATTAGAAGGTCAGGGTTGAGTAGCATGTGTTTTCAGAGAAGGGAGAAGGAAGTCCTCAATTTTTGACAATTTTGTATTTTTCCAATCAACACCCAGAACTGTGTGTCTTAATGTTTCACACACCCTGGCCTGAGACAGTGCCGTGTCAGACGCCAACACACTTCCCAAGAACATCTGCTCTTTTCAGAGTGCCACAGCACAGGTGGACACCCTCGTCCTGGAGGGACGTATGTGGCCCCAGAGGAGGAGTGCCCACGTGCAAGACCAACCTTTACCTGGACTCTGCCACTTCCGGACTGTGTGGCCCTGGCGTGCACTAGGAACATCACTGTCCTTCACTGTACAGTGGGGAGAAAACCACTGTCCCTTTCCCAGGACGGTAAACATCGAGTGCACAGAGCAGAGGGCCTGGCCTGGAGCAGCCCCCCATCAGTCTAGCCCAGAGCTCAGGGCCCCAGTACCAAGTGAGCACCACCGAGCCTTCATCGCATGGCCCAGTGCTGTGCTCGCAGTTAACAGGGAGAGGAACAGTGGCTGCTTTTGAAACCCATAAAAGTCACAGGGTTAAAAATTCTTCACCTTGGGGCAATGGGGTGGCTCAGTGAGTTAAGGGTCTGACTCTTGGTTTCAGCCCGTGTTAGGCTCTGCAATGGCAGGGTGGACCCTGCTTGGAATTCTCTCTCTCTCTCTCTCTCTCTCTCTCTCTCTCTCTCTGCTCCTCCCTGACTCGACTTGCACTGTCTCTGTGTCTCTCAAAATAAACAGACTTAAAAACACACTTCAAAAATTCTTGACCTTAGGCTACAATATGTCCAGATGTTTTTTCCCCATGTGCTTCTCAAAGCAGAGAAGTCTGTGCAGTCAGACTGTGCTGAGGCAGCACGGCCTGCTGCTGGCCACAAGAGCCATGGGTAAGGTGGCTCTCAAAAGCCAGTTGGACACGCGGAAATCACGTTAAGATCAGTCCTTTTTAAGCCAAGAAACCTTGGGGGCGCCTGGGTGGCTCAGTCAGTTAAGCGTCCTACTCGGTTCAGGTCATGATTTCACAGTTCATGGGTTCGAGTGCTGCGTCGGGCTCTGTGCTGACAGCTCAGAGCCTGGAGCCTGTCTTTGGATTCCTTGTTTCCCTCTCTCTCTGACTGTCCCCTGCTTGCGCTGTCTGTGTCTCTCAAAAATTAAAAACAAAAACAAAAACAAAAACAAGCCAAGAAACCTGACATACTTGCAGGGGAGAATCCGCACAACATCATTCTGCTTATAGCTCTCAATGCAGACTGCGCAGTGATCAAAGTCTGGGTCTGTTTCCTGCAATGAAAAGCAAAGGCACAAAGTTACATGCTAAGAACTAAAGATGTACCTAAATGGGGGAGATACAATCCCGCTAAGAATTCTCCTGTGGCAACTACGGTAAGCAAGTGATTATAAAATGAAGAGTTATAATCAATTTTACCTGTATTGACCTGAATTATATCTAAACCACTGTACTCTGTTTTTAAACAACGATGTAACAGTTAATACTATTTCTCTTTGTGAAGGGTCTTAGAAGGCAGAAAACCAAGATTCAAGTCCACTATCACCTTGGACCATCCTCTCCCCCCTCCACCCACCGCAGCAGCACTGTTCTGGTCCAAAGGGGGGTCGCTACACACCTTCTACCATGTGGATCTTCATCAGAAGGGTCACTGGACCGCATGTCTAAGTACAGGCAGAAGAGACAAGCCCCAAGGACGGAAGTTGGTAGCAGAGTTGGGGTAGAGCATGGTCATGGCCTAATTCAATACTGGGTCTTTATCAAGGGTCGGGAAGAGTTAGCCAGGTGTCTGGTCCTTCTTCCTTCATACTGGGAAATGGATTCCCCTAAGTTTGCATTTCCAGGAGCCCAAGCCAGGAAAGGTGAAACTGTTTGCTGTGTCATGGCCACCTGAACTGAAACTCAGTGGGACAACACTTGGTAGGTCTATGAGGTACAAACTAGGAAGAGGTGTTGTTCTGAGTAAGGAAGGACTGTCTGGTGTTAGCCTGAAGGGCACTAGGATAGGTAGGCTACACCAGCGCAGGGAAATTTCAGATTAATGTAGCCGCCGGGCCAAGAAAACATTCATAGGGGTGACACTCCTCTGGGGTTAGAGGGCAGCTATTCTGATGCTGCTGTTATTTTCTGCAGTGAAAAATTGGATGTGGTGGTGCCAAGGCAGTGGGAATAAACATGAGTGAAATCCAGAAGGTAGTGAAACTAAGGAGGACGGAGACTCATCTGAAATGATCCTCCCAGAGCCATTTGTTAAAATGGTAGAGCCAGGGGGTGGGGCAGAAAACCGTTTGGGATTTATGTCTTTAAAGATGCACCTTTTTTGTTCTAGATAACTTTGAGTACATCAAATGTCAGGTCTAACACCAAGTTGCTACTTTGTCCTTAGAGAGCAGAAGCGGGCTCCACGTAACTGAGACCTGACTGGGGAATTGTGGTCAGTGGCTTTCAGCCACAGCCCTGGTCATTGCCTTTCTCATTCAGTCCCCCTAAGCTAAGGGCTCAACCCTGACACACTTTGCGCTTCCTTTCAACGGTCTAGCCTGCTGTACAGAAAGCGCCTTGTGAAATGACATTCCCTCAAGATGTGGACCTCCAGCTCTCTGTTTAACTGGAGAAGGGCTAAGACACAACAGAGGTGTGGCCAGGTCTCAGGAAGCACAGGAAGAGAATGTTTATTCCTGGCCACTGAGTGTACCGACGGACCCATTAATTAGCGTTCTTCCTGAAAGTATCCTTGGTTATGGCAGGAGAAAGCTCCCTGGAATACCACAGCTGGGCTAACTGTTAAGTAGACCCGGGAAGCTGATAATGGCAGGAAGCCAAAAAGTCCAGGGAAGTCAGAAATTGCATGGAGGGCCTCCAAAGGAGAAAGGCTAAGTGTAAAAGTTCAGGGGAAGTTACTTTAAAATAAAGCAGGGTGTATTCCTGGAGAAAAGGAATCACCTAACAAAGGAGACACAGATGATAAGGGTGTCTTGTCTCCCACCAAATCGAGAGCAAAAGTACTTATTATTTTTATAGTGTTAAGGTCATTTCACTACTATACCTTGTCACCCTTTTTTACTGTTCTGGTTGTCAATTTGCTGATGGCTTTTTTGGCAGCATCTCCAAGACGACGCTATGAAAATAAGAAAGAGAAACAGACTTTATATGAAAGCTCTCTGGGTGAGGTTCTCTTTTTATTTTATTTTTTAAGGTTTTATTTATTTTGAGTGTCTGGGGCACCTGGGAGGCTCAGTCAGTTAAGTTTCCGACTTCAGCTCAGGTCATGACCTCACGGTTTGTGGGTATGAGCCCCACGTCGGGCTCTGTGCTGACAGCTCGGAGCCTGGAGTCTGTTTCAGATTCTGTCTCCCTCTCTCTCTGCCCCTTCCCCACTTGTGCTCTGTCTCTGTCTCTCAAAAATGAATAAGTGTTAAAAAAAAAAAAAAAAAACCTACATATATTTTTGAGAGCGTGCAAGCGGGGCAAGAATTCACAAACCGCGAGATCATGACCTGAGCTGAAGGTGGACACTCAACCGACTGAGCCACCCAGGCGCCCCTTTGGATATTCTTGATTTTAAAATAATTAAATGTATAAAGTCCCTATTATCTTACAACATTCTCCATGTCATATCATAGGAAATGGATTCTAAAAAAGCAATTAAAAATTAGAAAAACTGGTGTTTTCCCCACAGATTCAGCTTCTGAATCAAATTACTGAATTATTCTGGTTGAATAATGAAAAAAGCATGTATAGCCAAAAAAACCCCAAGAAACAAACAAAAAAAAAAACCCCACCCAGGTGTCCTACTCACTACTGCATTCTGTATTTAATAAACCTTTGCAATACTACAGCATTATTGAAATCTACTTCTTGCACAGGTCAGAGCACTACTACTGTTCTAATAGCTTTCCTATTCAGCTCCAAGGATGATTAGATGTATAAGCTGTCTTAGTAAACAAAAGGAACCTCCAATGCCTCAGAAACTGCTTTTCACATTGCCAGGAGTGGCAGAAGAGAGGCAGTCACCGGCTCTCCTTCTATCTTGCCACTACAATGCTCCATGATCTTAGGAAGGTGCGTTTATCTTTCCAGGGTTGGGTTGTCTGAAAGGGTTAAGTCACGGAATCTCAAAGGCTGGATTTATCCAACATTCTGCCAGATGCTAGTAGACACCCAGGACCCAGAGGTGGAAAGACCATGCACTCCTAATCTTGAAAAGTCTACCAAATCGAGGAACAGACCAGTCAAACATTTTAACTGAATGTTGTAAGGCAGGGCATGCCTGGGTGGTGTGGTAGCAAAAGTTGGGGGCACCCTAATGCATGTGGGTGGGACAGTGCAGGGGTGGGGTGTCAGGGAAGGGCTTGAGGACAGGATGCCTGAGCAGAGCCTTGGAACACTAGTGGCAAGGAATTTGATAAGAAAAAGCACAGGGGTAGGAGGGCGGACTCCTAGACAAAGGAACGATCAAATAAAGATAAAGAGGTGTGAAGCACGGGAAGATGATGGAAAATTATCACTCCCTATGACTAGGAGGAGCATATATCTTATTGTACAAATTAGAACGTTTTAATAGTCAGAGGGACAGTAGTAATTACCCGGGGCAGTAGGTACAAATGGGCCACATGGGGACAGGCGGCCACCACACACCAGCAAATCTTGAATTGTGGGAAGAGGCAGATGCTGAGGCTGAAGGAGGTTGGTGGGGCTAGAAGGGAGGACCCTGGATTTTATATCCTGAGGATCACACAAAAAAATTAGAAACATTAAAAATTTAGGGAGAATTAAAAAAAATAAACAAAAGGGAATAATTTAATGATAATAATTTTATTACGTATCCATCATGTAGCTTCGATGATCAATATTTTACCTGTATTTTTCACCTGTCCCCTCCTCTTTACTGTGCTAGAGGACTTTAAAGCCTATCAAAAGCACAGGATCATCTCCCCCACATCTCCACTCTGCCTGACAGACAGGGGCTTTTGTCTGGTGCCACTGTCTTACCTCACAAAATTAACAGTAACTAATCAACATTATCAAATACTCAGACCCTGCTACAGTTTCCTCAGTTGTTTCCAGGGCGTCTTTTTATATAGTTGGCTTGTCTGATGCAGAACACAAAGTCCAAACACTGCATCTGGCTGTTGTTCCTCTGTCATACAGATACATGTATCTTTAGGCTTATGGAAACAGAATGGACTTAAGCTGCAAGTTTAAAATGAACCATCTGAGGTTTAGACATGGCCCTTGAAACCATCACTGCCATCAAGACAGTATCCCTCAACCCCCGTTTCCTTGTGCCTCTTCCTAATCCCTTCTTCCTGCCACCATTCCGCCCATCCACTTTCTGCTTTGTTCAGTTTACACAAACACATGACAGTATTATAGCATATACTATTCTGCATGCAGTTTCTTTTACTCAGCATAATTATTTTAAGATTAATCTGTGATGTTTAGGCGTGGCTCAGTCAGTTAAGTGTCCTACTCTTGCTTTTGGCTCAGGTCCTGAACTCACGGTTCATGTGTTCAAGCCCCACATCGGGCCTGTGCTGACAGTGCAGAGCCGGCTTGGGATTCTCTCCCCACACCCCAACCCCTCCCCGACTTGTTTGCATGTGCTCGCAATCTCTCAAAAATAAATAACAAAAAAATTAATGCAGATTGTTGCATGCATCACTAGTTCACTGCTTTCTTAGGCTACGCACAGATTACACCACCACGTATTTATCTTTTCAACTGCTGATGGAAGTTTTGTATTGTTTCAATGAACAAAACCGAAACCACCTTCTTTACTTGTACAAATCTTTGTAAAGACATGTGCTTTCTTTTCTCTGGGGTAAATACTTATAAAGAAGGGAAGACCAGCTAGTATGGTGGGTATGTTTGGCTTTTCAAGAGGCTGCCAAAGTGTTTGCCAACGCGAGTGGACCACTTTATGTTTCCACAAGTTGTAGATGAAGATCCCGGTCCTCTGCATCCTTACCAACACTCACTATGGTCGGTCTTTTTCATCTGAATGTAATTACCCTAAGAGGTGGGTCGTGGTTACCTCACTGTGGTTTAAATTTGCATTTCCCTTAATGCCTAATGGCGGTGAGCATCTTGTCAGGTACTTCTTTGCCATGTGCATATCTTCTCTGGTGAAGAAGATTCTCTGAATCTTTTGCCCATTTTCTACTGAGTTGTTCTCTTATTATTGACTTGAGAGAATATTTTACATATTCTAGACAAAATTCCTTTTGCATATATCTTCTCTCTGCAGCATAAAGTTTTATTTTTTTTACTGTTTATTTTTTTGTTATATTTATTTCTGAGAGAGAGAGAGAGAGAGAGAGAGAGGACTGAGGGAGCACATGCATGCGCAGGGGAGGGTCAGAGGGAGAGGGAGACACAGAATCTGAAACAGGCTCCAGGCTCTGAGCTAGCTGTCAGCACAGAGCCCGATGCGGGTCTCGAACCCATGAACCGTGAGATCATGACCTGAGCTGAAGTTGGACCTCAACCTCTGACTGAGCCACCCAGGTGGCCCTAAATGTTTATTTCTGAGAGATAGAGAGACAGAATGTGAGCAGGGGAAGGGCAGAGACAGGGAGGCACAGAACCGGAGGCAGGGTCCAGGCTCCCCTGTAGCAGAAGTTTTTAATTTTTTTTTTTTAATATTTTTATTTATTTCTAGGGGGGAGAGAGAGAGAGAGAGAGAGAGAGAGAGAGAGAGAGAGAGAGAGAGANGAGAGAGAGAGAGAGAGAGAGAGAGAGAGAGAGAGAGAGACAGCGTGAGCAGGGGAGGGCCAGAGAGAGAGGGAGATACAGACTCCGAAACATGCTCCAGGCTCTGAGCTGGCAGTCAGCACAGAGCCCGACGTGGGGCCCGAACCCACTAACTGCGAGATCATGACCTAAGTGAAAGTCGGATGCTCAACCGACTAAGCCACCCAGGCGCCCCAGAAGTTTTTAATTTTGATGGTCAGTTTATCAATTTTTCATTTGTGGATTGTACTCTGGTGTCCTAAGTAATTTTTGTCTATCCCAAGGTTATAAGACTTTCCCTTATTTTCTTTTCCAGAAGTTTTATTGTTTTAGGTTTTGTATGTAGGCCTCTGATCCATATTGAGTTAATTTTGTATGTGGTATGAAGTACTGATCATGGTTTGTGGGTTTTTTTTGCATATGATAGCCAGTTCTTCCAGCGCTAATTGCTGAAAAGGCTGCTCTGCCTCCACTGAATTGCCTTTGTACATCTGGCAAAAACCACCTGCCCATAAGTGTGTGGGACTGTGTCTGAACACTATTTTGTATCAGTTAAGCAAATATCACAGTCATTAATTTCCTGTGCTTTGTAAAAACAAATTTGAAATCAGGTGGTATTACACCTCCAACTTCTTTTCCTTTCTTTTCCAACTTCCTTTTGGCTGTTCTTGATCCAGGCACTCCCATAAGAACTTTAAGTTAAGCTTGTCAATTTCTATAAAAAAAAAGTTATCTGGGATTTACATTATGATTGATTGCACTGAATGCATAGATCAATTCGGAAAGAAGTGACATCTTAATAGTATTGAGTCTTCCCTTGAACAATGTATCTGTCTCCATCTATTTAGTTCTTATTTAATTTCTCTCAGCAATATTTTATAGTATTCCCTGTACAGGTTCTACACATCTTTTGCCAGATCTCTAATAATTTCCTGTTGGTTCTATGTTCTGTTTAGTGCTAATGAAAACGGTACTTAATTCTCATTTATTACTTGTAGAGAAATAAAGTTGACTTATATATATATGTGTATATATATATATGTATCTCAACCTTGCTAACATCCATTTATGAGTTCCAGCAGCCTTTTTACAGACTCCCTCAAATTTTTTACATAGACACTAATGTCCTTTGTAAATGAAGATGGCTTTTCTTACTCATTTCTAATATGGGTATCTTTTATTTCTTTTCTTTACTCCTTGTTATGCTGGTTAGAACTTCTGGTACAATGTGGAAAAAAAAGTCATCCGAGCACAAATCCTTCCGTTGTAGCTAATCTTAAAAAGAAGTATTTAGTCTTTCACCATTTAATATGATGGTATAGCTGCTAGTTTTCTACGGACACCCCCTCACCAGATTAAAAAGTTACCTTTAATGCCTTGTTT